AAAGAAACTAGAAATTAATTATTAAGAAAAGACTAAAAAATAAAGCTTATATCTTTAATTATATTAAATTCCTTGCTGTACTTATTTATTTCTTTTTAATTTAATTTATTTTTAATTAACAGCTTCAATATTATTGTGTTTAAAGCACAGCATTGTATTTTTAAATTCTACACTTGACTTCTGTATTTACAACATGATTAATTTAAGACATAATGTCATCAAGTCTAAATGCACACATGTGAATAAGTAACGTTTACCAAAGTTTTTCAACAAATATTATAATACTTTTGCATACATATCTCTGGTATTCACTTATAATTTTTTTCTCTGCTCCATAAGATTTATGTTTCTGATCCTTGAATTACACCGAGCATAAATCAGATCTAAGTCAATGTCTATAACTCGAAGATATACCGTTAATATTAACATAATTTATTACATTTATGTAGAGATTGATCGTGAGACCAATAGATATGTATATTTAGGTTGTCAGCAAGCTTGTTGGTGAATATTTCTTAGGTACATAAACTTTTTTAAGTATTGTCAATAGTAATTCGTGATGTATTCAATGTACAATCGATTGTCCTTCGATATAGTTTGCACCGAAAACGTTTTATTTCCAAATTTTATATTATTTGTACACTTTATTATTGTCTTTCTAAATAAAAATGAAAAGGAGTTTCTCGAGTCATGTCTCCTTTCTTTTGCTTCTATTATACATATAAAAACAGTGCACATAAATTATAGATATGTACATCTTTTAATTATATACAATAGTACATAATATTAAATTATTAGGTTTTTAAATCAAAATAGAAATAAGAAAATTTTAATAATCATCAATAAGAAATTGAATATATTTTATTACATGAAATTGATAGAAATTATTATTTTCATTATTTCTATCTTCTATTTAATTTAATTCTAAATTAACTATTAATAAACATTAGCTAATTAATGTTCATCGATTCGATTGCTACAGACAAAACTTAGTTTTTTATTAATATTTTTACAATTTTATTTTATATAAAGATTTATATAAGTATTTTTTCAATTTTTGTTCTATATATTAATAAGCAGAATGAAGTATTAATCAAATGTTAATATAGAAAAAAATAATAATTTTTATAATTTATTTTATTTAAAAATTATATTTCTCAATTAATCAATTAACTCAATTATCTCATTAACTTTAAAATATTTTTCATTATACACATAAATACACATGTTAGGTATCTCATAAGATTTGTTCGTGCCGCACTCCACATGGTTCAATATGTTCCTATTCACTCTAACAAACGCGTTTGAGTAGAAGCTACAGTTAGAGGAAGTAGGACCATGTTGGAGCATGCGAGACGCGAACCTCTAAAAAGAAGACTTCTTACCTTGAATCCTTATTATAGACCATGGAAGGCTGCCAATGTCCTATCCCATCTCCGAACAGATTATAACAAATTTTCCATTAATTATAAGCAGAATGCACATAATGGTATATGGGATTGTCATGTCTGAATCATAAAAAAAAAAAAAGAGTAAGTACCCTTTTCAAAAAATGATTCGAGAAGGAAAAAGGAGTGTATAATTTTTTTTATGCGTTAAATGTAGGTATAAATAATTAATAAAATAAAATTAATAAAATAAAATTTGCTAACAATTCTTATTTATAATGCTATTAGAAATATAAAATTTGAATTAATAAAATTAATAAATTAAGTAGAATTAAGTTTTACAATCACAAAAAGAATTAATACACGAATCTCTAAATTCTTTTAGCGTAGATGTCTCACTCTAAAAAGTGAAAATTGAGTCAGTCTTGAAAAAAAAGTGATTCAATTTTCAATCATTAAGGCTACATATTATGCGTCGTCTATAATATGCGGAGTAAGTTTGGTGTAAAAAATAAAATAAGAAATTAATCAATCATAATTATTTGATTATTCTTTTCACTTCGACTATGATTGGTCAATTTCATCATCTTACTTACAACAACAGTACAATTATAGAAGTGCATCCCTTTGCAGGAGAGGAGAAAGGGTGAGAGTCGCTTCGTGTGGAAAGTCGAAATCTATGTAGAATACAATTATAGACCTCATTTTGCCTCTGTGACAATTTCCTAACCTCAATAGTCGTCATTTTAATATCTCGGCACTTTTTTCTATCAGATTCTTTCGTTTCAAAAACGTGTCAAAGCCTAATTTTATTGATTTTTAAGTTGCGGCATCTATTCTGTATAAATAATTACCCTTATATTGAATAGTTTATTCCGCATATTAATTATATAGACGACGCAAGCTTATACAAATGTATACTCCAAAATGTCCTGTGCGAGGAAAATTTTACTCAAAATATATAGTATACGTAATGTATATTGAGTAAAATTTTTTGGAGTTTTGGATGTATGTAAATTTAACTGTAAAAGTACGGGGCCCGCACAATAAAAGGAACAGGGAACAAGAATTTCAACCTATTAGAATTCAACTTATCAGAAACTATATATTCCACATTAATGCATGATTTCTGATAGATTGAAATTTTTCTTTCTCTGTTCTCTGTTCCTTTTATTGTGCGGAGTCCCTAAGACGGAACTACTGTTCCGAGTAAAATTTTGCCTATTTCCACCGACGTAGATTAATTTTAATCTCGGTTTAACTTACTCTTCGTCTTTTTCTAATTCTAAAGATAAGAATCGAGATTAAAATTAATTTACGTTGATAGAAATAAGCATAAAAGAATATGGCCAATAATCTTAAAACGACGAACCAAATTACGGACACACCATTTTAATGGAAGAAAGATTTGCTAATTTTCGATTCTTTCGAAAAAACATCGAGTCGTTCTTGCGTATCTTACGGCATTAGAATCTATACTTATATACGCGAACTAATTTGAACTTACGACGCGTTGCATCGGCAGTCAATTATGATCGACGAAAGAAGATTATGAATGATCGATTGCAATAACTAACACTCCAGTGATCCTCTGTCATCTCGAGCAACGTTCGCGATTAAAATACACACTCTAAACGCATCTTATATGAGCAAAATTCGCAGTTAATCATAGAACAACGCGCCATCGCATCCAAACCATTGCACTATCGAAAGTGTCATGGCAGCCGAGTTTGGGCGCGCAAACGCCGCAACTTTCAATTGTTTCGCGCGCTATCAAGATCAGGGCTACCACAAGCAGAAATGCAAATTGTGCACTGCACAGTGGCGCGTTAACAAGGTGACTAAATTAAATTTTAAAAATCAATAATGATTTCTATAATCATTGCATATGTTCGCTTTTGTTAGATTCAAATCTTTCCGAAATGTGTTCTGTACATCGAATACAAAGACATTTATATTCGAAATCTGAATCGAATAGTTGTTTATTTCTTGACTCAAATCTTTCCATACAGTGCAATATCACCAATGAGATACTATTAAATTGGATTTTTTTCGGCGGTAAAAAAGGGTCCCAAAAACCTAGAGATAATTGAAGAACGCTGACATTATCGACAATTGATACAAATTTATTATTATTAACATAAATATTTGGCTCATACATTATTAAATTCATGATTTTTTTATTACATAAATGTTCCATAAATAAATATGCATACTTGTAAAGTTATAATACTCTATATATTGCAGAAAAATTACAATATTTTCTCTATGATTATCATCTCTGTTGATAATCAAACTTTGACAATAATACTAAAATTACAATTTTAAAGAAAAATCGAGTATTATTGAGTTGAATATAAATGCATAATTACGTACTCTACTAAACTAATAAATCATCTAAAATTAGTACAATATTATCAGTTTTTAACTCTTAATCACTTTAATATTCATAAAGACACAAACTCCTATAAGGATATTTTTAATAGTCAGTGACCATATTAGCCATTATTTTAGTCAGAATTTCGATCATATTTTTATTAAAGCGAAAATGTGAAAAGTGAAAAATTGTTCTTATGTATATATATATTAACTTCAATAATGAAAATTTGCGCTTCCACCTAGAGAAAAAAGTTACAATATTCTGGTACAAAAATGAAAAATTGCGCCTTTCTTAAAAATATTTAAAACATTATTTAGGAATAGCTTATTTACAAAATTGTAGATAAAAATATTAAGAAAAGCAGCAAAATCTCTTTTGCACAAAGGCGCCTTATCAGCCGAAGTCCTAATCTAATTGAAAAATGAATAATTAAAATTCACGACGAGAATGAAATATTTTCTGTTTTATTAAGTCACAACAAATAACAATATTTTGTTTAACATTTTTATAAGATTATGAGATTTTACATACAAAGGATAAAAAAGATGTAAGGAAGGATAAAATAGATTTTCGATTCAAATTTTAACGTGCGTTATGTTATTGCAATATATAATTAGATAGACAACTATCATGATGAAAGAATAGTTCAATACTACATATAAAGCATTATAATGTTGATATGTATGCATATTTCTTTTATTTTTATATTTATAGCCCATGAATTTTTATAAATATAAATATCATTCGTCTTATTCCTTTTTTTCGGTTGTATCTCTCTCTCTCTCTCTCTCTCTCTCTCTCTCTCTCTCTCTCTCTCT